AAAAAGGAACCCTGTCCACTGCTGGTGGGAATGCAAGCTGGTGCAACCACTCTGGAAAAAAATTTGGAGGCTTCTTAAAAATCTAAAGATAGACCTGCCATATGATCCAGCAATCCCACTCCTGGGGATATAACCAAAGGAATGCAACACAGGTTACTCCAAAGGCACCTGCACACCCATGTTTATTGCAGTGCTATTCACATAGCCAAGTTATGGAAACAACAAAGATGCCCCACTATTGATGAATGATCAAGAAAATGTGGTACTTGTACACAATGGAATTTTACTCAGCCATGAAGAAGAATGAAATCTTCTCATTTGCAGGTAAATGGATGGAACTGGAGAACATCATTCTGTGCGAGGTCAGCCAGGCTCAGAAGACCAAAAATCATATGTTCTCCCTCATATGTGGACTTTAGATCTAGGGCAAATGCAGCAATGTGGTTGGACTTGGATCACATGACAAGGGGAGAGCACATACGGGAGGTATGGGGATAGGTAGGAAACCCAAAACATGAAAGTGTTTGATGTCCTCACTCCAGAGGAACTAATATGGAAACCTTTAAAGCGACAGAGGTCAATATGAGAAGGGGATCAGGAACCAGTGTAAATATCAGTTAGAGATGAATCAACATGGGTCATAACACATGTGTACACGAAAGCAATGCTAGGAATATTTCTGTATAGCTATCCTTAACTCAACTAGCAAAAACGCTTTGTCTTTCTTATTATGCTTGTGTCTTTTCTTCAACAAAATTAGAGATAAGGGCAGAACAGGACCTGCCTGGAACTGAGGTGGGGGAGGGGGGGAGGGGGAAGAAATGACCCAAACAATGTATGCACATGTGAATAAATGAATAAAAAAATTCTGCTTTTCTATATCAAGGCCCAGTTCAAGCTGTTCTGGAGGGATGTAAAGTGACCAGTGTCTGTTATGTGTTTGCAATAGCGTCTGGTGAGTGCTGTAGAGGAGACACAGCAGATTCAAAGGGAAGAAGGGATTTGATTGTGATTTGAACAAGCAAAGTTAGAAGTCTCCTATATGGAAGACAGGTCACCAGGAAATGTCTGGAGCTTAGAAAAGGAGAGATGGGGTGGGGAAAATAAGGACGGGTCAAGGGATGGAGAGGTGGTAACAGGCTTGGTGCTTAATGTGAGGAAGTCTAATTTTGTGTTTTCTTCATTGGCAGTCTGTTTCTATCATGTGAAATGTGAGGCTTACAGTACATGCTTAATGGTAATTGTGGAGGCTGTGGGGTGGGCAGTTCTAGAATGTGGGATGGTGGCAGATCTACAAAGGGTTTATTCCTCTGAGAATTATGGAAAATGTCTCCTCATTACTTTCCATTGTGCTTTTATTTTTGTTGCTTTTCATTTTTTTATTTATTCATTAAAGACATAGTATGTCCTAGAGTTAAGAACACAGAATCCAGAATTACATTGAGGAGACTGCTAATGTGTGGTCTTAAACAAGATTTTTAACTTCAGTTAAAGTTTTAAACTTTGGGTTTTTTGCTTATAAAACGTGGATGATAATAGTTAGGCTTTCAGATGGTTTGTTAATGTGCTACTTTCATTCTTAGCACATAATAAATACTTAATATTCACTATTGTTAGTAGTATCTTACTAGATTGCTGTTTGTTTCAACGAGTGTCTCATCAGTTTTTCTTTCTCAATATTGTCATCTTCTACGTTATGACATTGATAAGATTCCCTCAGAACTGTTGTAATGCCATAGTTAGAATGAAAAAAAAATGCCTTAAGATTGGTCCTTGAAAATAACATGTTTATATATGCAGTAATTACAGTTTTCATAAACACCTGTAAAATAGTTAACTAGTAACCAAGATTCAGAGCTTAAATGATACACTCATTGTCAATGCCCAGGGAATGGAAGAACCCATAACCTCTGCCTCTGTTTCCAGCTTTGTTCTTACCTCCTGCTAAATGAGGAAATGTTAATGTCTTGACTATTCATTTTGTGAGAGTACCACTGAAAATTCTTAATCTTTTAATGTGATTTTAATCCATACCTCCAGTGTCTTTATTTTTATACCTTAATGTTATATCCTTTAAATATTTTAACATGCCAGGATTTGTTCACCAGTGTGATTACTGCAAAGCTAATCATATGACATAATTGATTTGTCTCAATTCTAGAAAAACCTAAGGTGGCTTTTCAGTGACTTTTTAAACTAATAAGCTTAATTGTATTAAAGCAGTGTTGAGCTCACAGCAAAACTGAGGGAAGAATACGCTGCTGAGATGTACCATCTGAATACGTGTACAACGGTCCCTACTGTCAACACCCGTACTAGAGTGGTGTTTTTACCATCATGCACCACACTGACACATTATCTGAAGCCCATAGTTCACAGTACAGCTCACTTGGTATCGTGCATTCTGTAACTTTGGTGTGTAAACATGTAATGACATGCAGCCATCACTGTGGTGTCATTCAGAGCCCTTTTTACCACCCTAACAATACTCTGTGTTCTGCCTAGTCATCCCTTCCCTCCCACCTAGTCAGCTGCTTACTAATGAAAACCCTTGAATGAACTACTTCTTATCCTAGAAGGTTTGTTGTTGTTACTGTGTTGTGTTTTGGGCTTCTTTTAGATCTTTGCTAAGGAGCTTCAGTGAGGACAAGCATGAACAAAGGGGCTTCGTACCACCCCTGTAATGGCATCTTGCTGGATCTTGTGCGTAGGGAGACAGACTCCATGTGTATGGGATGAAGGCCAGGCTGGCAGAGATAGCTCACCTAAATGCAAAAATAAACACCATCTCATGTCCAGTGTTGGTCCTGGGCATGGGGAGTGAGATATACTGCTGGTGGCAGTCCACAGGCCTCTCCTCCCTTCAACCAGGCCTAGAATTCTTCCCAGAAAGTCTAATCCAGAATTATACTTTTAAATATCTGATTGAGTAAAACAACTTTTGGCTTGGTCCTGCCCTTCACTCTCCCTTACATGCCATTGTCTTTGCCATGATCTTTGGAATGACAACTCCAGTGAAGGAACCTCCACTGGTCATACAACTATCTTTCAGCTTACCACAAAGTCAGTAGGTCCATGCAGATATGGGTAGATCCTATGGAAGGATGTGGACAGAGGCGAGGCAATAGTATTTTTGTGACTTTGTATTGTATGTGATAGAAGGTATTTGTGCCTTTAGCGTCCTTGTTAAGTGGGTTTTACAGTCTATAGGAAACCGCTAATTTTATTTGAATATATAATTCAAGGCACAATTTCAAACTTAACTGGTCCAAAATGAATCTTACTGTCTTCACCAAATGTAATTTCTTCTGCAAATATTATGTTCCCTAAAATCCTAGGCTTGACATCTCAGACTCATTTTTACTCTGTTATGTTTCATGATGGATACACAAAGCTGAGAAAGTTGAATAGAAGGACAAGAAAACTGAGATGTCATTGGAGTGCAGCACCCGAGTCCTGGAGGGCCCGGCCTTGGATCAGGCAGACCTTGGAGTCCCCTTGCTTGCATAGAGGCCCTGCTCGCCACAGGGAATCAGAACTGGGGAGGAGAGGAAGGGAAGAGGCAGAAAGGCAAGCTAGACTAGAGTACCACTTTACTGCCCACTGTAGAGTTGAGCGTTTCCTGTATTTTAAAAAGGATAACTCTATTGACACACATTGGCTCTTGTTTTTATATTAGAATACATTTTAATACTGGTGGGGTAAACTGTTTGTAATATATGTTTTTTTTTTGCTCAGTAATATTGTAGGAAAATACTCTCCCCATCACTGTTATTTATATATATTAACTGTAATATTTTAAAATTTCAAGTATACATTTTTTCTTCTGGTGGTACTAGGGCTTGAACTCAAAGCCTCATACTTGCTAGGCAGGTGCTCTACACTTGAGCTACCCTAACAGTCCTCCTTTAAGCATACATTTTTAGACACAAAGTCTTACTATGGAGTTCAAGCTAGTCTGGAACTTGCTATGTAGCCCAGGCTGGCCTCAAACACTTAATCCTCCTGTCTCCATTTTCCAAGTTCTGGGATTACAGGCATGCACCACCAATGCCCAATTGTGTATATTAATTATCAAGACAGTTCAACCATTTCTTGTTCTGTCCATTATAATAATCCTATTACAATTTTTCTTTCTTTTTAATGCATCCAAAAGTCCTTTATTTACTTTTTTAGCTACAGCAACACATTGAACAGGTATGTATCTGCTCCTTTTCTGTAGTGAATGTCTCAGCTCTTTTCAAATGATTTTTATTGGATAGCCAAGGAACTGAATGAAGGAGGAAGTTTCAGTTACTATGCTGGTGGGAAGGAGTTTAGGGAGCTATGGTGCTGATTTCGAGAATATCAAAGTCAGGGTTCCTCTATCCCAAAACACAGAAATACAGCAATTTAAATATAGTGCAGGGTATAAGTTAGCGGTTCTAAAATCGATCCTGTATTATTATTTTTGAGGGGAATAATTTTCATCTATTTACTTACACGTTTTCTTGAGATGTGGGACATGATTTCTAACCACCCATTTAAAAGAATTAGCATAGTTTTTGCTTTTAAGAAGAGCTTTTTGCCCGGCGCCAGTGGCTCATGCCTATATCCCTACTCAGGAGGCAGAGATCAGGACAATTGCGATTCAAAGCCAGCCCAGGCAAATAGTTCGCAAGACCCTATCTTGAAAATACCCATCACAAAAAATGTTGGTGGAGTGGCTCAAGGTGAAGGCCCTGAGTTCAAGCCCCAGTGCTGTAAAAAAAAACAAAAGAGCTTTTTATATTTAAATAAGGCTTTAAAAACTGTATTGAATGCATTTCTTTAGAGTTAATAGAATCTTCTATATGGATTTTCTATGATAAGACAAAGCTAAACTAGTTCATATGCGTTTTTGCTTAGATATGAGATAGAGATGGATAGGGGATGTGCAGTTAGCATTTATCTGCTGTATAAAATGCAGCTTTATTTTGCAAAATCCTTTTGCCCCTGATTAGCATCTTACTGCTTTGTAGGTATGGGGCACATTCATTGGTGACACTCGTGTACATCATCGGCAGAAGCATCAGTACAGATGAGCAGATGACGGAGGTGAGTCCTTGATGTGTTGAAATAGGAAGGTGAGCCAGAAAGCACTTCCAATGCACTTGCAATATGCTTATCTGAATTCCTCCACTCTGTGCACCCACTGCTGCTGTCACAGCTGTTGAATTTCATCCTCCCCTGTGATCATGGAGGGCTGGCCTTTGTCCTCCTCCCCAGAGATCCTGCAGTAGATGGATGCAAACACTCCTCCCAGGCTGCCAATTACCACCCAGTCCCCAAATTTCAGTAGCACTTCAGAGCTTTTAGAAGAAATTTATTTATTTCTTCTTAGCACATAGAACCCTTCATGACCTGGTCCCTGCCTTACCCCTGACTTCATTTTGGCCACCTTGGCACCAAGTGTCAGAGAGCAAGAGAGACTGCCAGGTACAGCTCTGTTGTACCACTTACCAATTTTATTAAATTATTGTGTTTCATCTTTTCTGAATTTCAGAAGTACTGTACTTTCTTTCTAGGGTTCCTTCCTTATCCTTGACCTTGGTTGGATAATTCCTAATTGTCCGTTAAGATTCTGTTCTCACTGCCCATTCTAGGGGTTTTTAGTGAATGGATTTCTAGCCTTTCTGCCTCCACACACCCAAATCATCCTCTGAGTATCTTTCACACACTGCTTACCGCAGTGTATGGTAATCAGTGTGTTCATACATTTACTCTGTGAGGCCATCATGAACTCCTTGAGGACCGAGACCATATCAGCCACATTTGTGTTCTAGACTCTAACACAGGCCTGCCATGTCTTGTATTTTGCTTTCCTCTGAGCTGCATTTCTTCATCCACAGCCTTTCTCCACATGGGAGCAAACATAGCTCCAGGCTCACTGACCCTTGCCCTTGGTGCAGCTGGGTCACCTTCTCATGCTTGGAGCCATCTCTGCTCAAACTCCAGCACTGGGAATGAGGAAGGTGGGGTTCTGAAAGAAAAAAGAGATTACTATAGCCAGAGAGTAAAGTGAGGGGCAAAAGCAAATGCTTACAGAGACACACACACAAACACAGATGCAAACACATGGATACACACATAGACACACAGACTCAGATAGAAACACATAGACACAGAGACAGACAGACACATACACAGAGACACACACAGATATACACACAGAGGCATGCATACAGAGACACATACACAGACACATATAGACACAGAGACGTACATACAGATACACATAAATAGATACATATACAGGCACACACATACAGGTACATATATATATAGACACATAGACACACATACAGACACACATATATAGACACACACAGAGACACATACAGACACAGAACACACACACAAAGTAAAACAAGAATGAAATACAAATACAACTTGTGCACACCCAGTAGTATAGTTAAAATCAGGAAGGTTTGTGGCAAACAAGTACCATATGTGGAACCCTTGGAAGTCCTTCATCCTGCTGAGATAACGTGCCATAGTGCAACCACTTTGGAAAACAGTTTCAAAACAAGTTAATCTAGATATCTAGGACCCAACAATTCCACATTTAATTTAATTTAGTTTTTTTATTGTTGTACTTGGGGTACATTGTGACATTTACCAAAGTTCTTACAATATATCATAGTCGACAATTCTACTTTTAGATTTTTACTCAAGAGAAATGAACCTATGTCTCTACAACAACTTGTATCTGAATATTCACAGCAACTTTATTCACATTAGCCCCAAACTAGAAGCCATCTAAATGTCCCTTGGTGGGTAAATAGATTAGAAAAATGGAATATAACCACACGGTGGAATTCTACCTTCAAAAAAGAGAATAATTAATTTTGCAATTTCAAAACTAATATTTCATCCTTATACATCCTATATGCTCCCCAACAGACTAAGTGATTTAGGAAAATGTATTGATCACATTTCCATTTATTCAATGCCAACATCTAGAAGTGATTGTGCCAGCCAGTAATCTAAGGTCTTGGATTACATTTTTCACTCAGTTCTTACTGCAGCCCTAGCAGAAAGTAGTAGTGTGCTATAGACTTTAAAGATGACAGACTTTAAAATCTCTTTTCTTTTAACATCACGGATCATCCAGCTATTAAGATATAATTTGAAATCCAGTTCTCTGATTCTTCTACCCTGCCCATAGCCACTGTTCTCTATATCATGACTTAATATGATAAAAAGACAGAAATAAACAACCAAAAAAGAAGTGATTTTTAAAAAAATAATTAAAAATTTATCATATATAAGTAATTATTCTATATGAGTTATTTCAATCAAATGTATATGTAATTAAATAAGCAATTATACAAACAGAAAATACCTCTTTGTAGAAAAATTATAAAATTTTCAAATAGGACAAAACTGAGCCCTCTAAGCTAATTAATTTTTATCACACTCACATATCTGTGCACATATAAATATGAGGAAAATTAACCTAATCAGAAGACAAAAAGCTACAAATAAAAATGAAGCAGAGGAAAGGGTCATTATCAAAGTTTTTCTTACCCCAAGTCCCCCTGAGAGATAATAATACATATATTTATTTTTATATATATCATTCCATCTATATTATTTTAGTACATATGATTATATTATAATGAATTATAAGTGTATAATATATTTATATTCTTGTAATATATAATATATAATTATGTTAAATATTAACTATATTAACATGTTATAGTAATACATTATTATATATTTTATATTTATATTTAATTATATATGAACACACACATATATCTTGACAGCAGAGAAAAATGAAATATTACCAATTAAAATGAATAAATATGTGTAGCAACACACATGAATCTCAAGGAGGCTGTCAGGAATAAAAGAAACTAGCCATTCCTGGGACATGATTCTGCTCCATAGTGACACAAGAGTACATGTGCTACTTCCATAGTGACAAAAGGACATGTGTATTACTCCATAGTGACACAAGGACACTACTACTGCAGAGTGACGTGAAGACACTATACTACTGCACAGTGACACAAGGACACATGTACTGCTGCACAGGGACACAAGGCAGAGTAGTGGCTTCATGGGACAGGAAGGGATGAACTGCAAAAGGGCCCTGGGGAAGTCTTTGGGCCATGGTAGTGCACTGGATCTTGATCGTGGCAGCTGTTTCAAGGTCTGTATGTGAATCAGAATTCTTGACTTGTACAGTTTAAGTAGATAGCTTATTGCATATATGTTATAAAATTATATCCCAATAAAGTGGATTAAAGTTCAGCACCAGGGCCTGGAGCTATATTGATAAGTACATGAAAGGGCTGTGAATAAGAAGGGAAATTCAGCTTTTCCCATGCAAATGAACAATAACTGCATAAAGGTCTTCAATGTGATCCTAAGCCCACAGAATCGTCAGTCATGAGAGGGAAAAGGCTGAATTATGAAAGAATCCTCTTTGTTTGGGTTTGGCCTGCCTGAGGCTGAGCTGTCAGGACTCTATGTATGGGGGAATTCCATGGGTGAGATTAAGATGAGGACACCCAGTAGAACTGGTGTGGAACCCAGTACGTTTTGGTATAAAGCTTATTACTCAGTTGGGATCTGGCTTGCATATAATACCGTGGCAGATGTTCCCATAACCAGATGTGTGACCTGATCCAATGAGAGAATTTAGCCAATGGATGGATTCACCAAAATTTTCTTTTTCAAAAGTTATTTCAAAATTTTTAACCAAGGGCTAGGGATGTAGCTCAGTGGTACAGTGCTTGCTTAGCAAGTGTAAAGCCCTGGGTTTGATCCACAGCACTGCAAAAATTTTTTTAACTGATACATGAAAATTATACATCTTTCCTCGGTATCTTGTGGTGTTTTGATACATGTATACATGTACACATTGTATAATACTTAAATCTGGGAAAACTCATCTCAATTATCTTATACTTTTCCCTGATACTGGGATTGAACCCAGGGCCCCCTGCTTGCTAGGCAACATTGCCACTTTAAGCTACATCTCCAGCCTGTCTTTTTTCTTTTAATTGAGTTTTGATAAAGGGTCTTGCTGCTACTTTTGCCTGACCTTGAAGTCTCAATACTACTGTCTGCAACTCCTGAGTCACTAGGATTACAGGCATGTACCACCATGCCTGGCTTTCAATTATCCTTTCTTTATGGCAAAATATTCAAAACCCTTTCTTTAGCTTAAAAACAATACAATATATTATTAGCAACTGTAGCTACTATACTATACAAAAGAACCGCAAACTTCTCACCCTCATCTAACTGTAACTTGGTACCCATTCGTCACATTTTACTAATGTCTCCCTCCCTACTACTCTCTCTCAAGTCTCTGTTAATACTATCCTATTTTCTGAGATTGTGTGGCACTTGTCTTTCTGTGTATGGCTTATTTCACTTAATGTAATGATCTCCAGTTCCATCCACGTTGTTGCAAATGACAGTATTTCATTCTTGTTATGGCAAAATATGCACCATGTGTATATATACCACATTTTATGGGTCCCTCCTCAGTGGATGATACTTGGTTGTTTCCATTTCTTAGCTATTGGGGGAATAGCGCTAGCCTGGACATGGTGTTTAGGTGTGGTGTTGACAGACTGGTTTCATTTCCTTTGGATATGTAGCAGCATTACTCAATCCTATGGCAGCTCTGTTTTTAAATTTTTTATACTGTTTCCCACAATGACTGTATTTTTAATTTACTTCCCAACCAAAAGTATGCAAGGGTTCCCTCTTTTCCTCATCTCTCCAGACTTTATCTTTTGTTTTCATAATAGTCATTCTTACTGGAGTAAGGCAACAATTCCTTGTGGTATAACTCTCATTTCCAGGATGAACTTCCTTTTATATTGTTATTAACCCCTGGTCAGACGTACAGTGGGAAAATGCTTTCTCCCCTTCTGCAGGCTGCTCCTTCATCCCATTGTTTCCTTTGCTGTGCGAAGCACATGTTGATGAAATGCCATTTGTCTGTTTCTGCTTTTGTCTCTTAGGCTTTTTGGCATCTTCTCCAAAATCCTTGTCTATCCCATAGTTCTGAAGCATTTCCCCTACATTTTCTCCTAGTAGTTTCAGTCTTACATTTCATCTTTAATCCAGTTGAGTTAATTTTTGTAATGGGAAACAGATAGGGATCTAGTTTCTTCTCCTGCACGTGCATACCCATTTTTCCCAAAACCATTTATTGAAAACACTGTCCCTTCTCCAATGCATCTTTTTAGCACCTTTGTGGAAGATCAGTTGGCTGTAAATAGATGTGGGTTTAGTTCTAGGCTCCTGACTCTACTTTGCTGGACCACATGACTGTTTTTATGCCAGTACCATTCTGTTTTAAATACTATAGCTTTGTAATACTTTGAAAGTAGGTTATGTAATTATTCCTGCTTGGGCTGGTGGAGTGGCTCAAGTGTAGAGCACCTCCCTAGCAGGCATGAAGACTTGAGTTCAAACACCAGTATCACACACACAAAAAGTAACCAATTACCTCCTGCTTTGTTCTTTTTACTCAATACTGCTTTGGCTATTTAGGGGATTTTTTGTGTTTCTATAAAATTTTAGAATTGTTTCATTCTAGTACTGTGAAGAATTCCATTGGTATTTTGATAGGGATTAATTACACTGAAGGTGTATGTTACTTTAGGTAGTATGGACATTATCAGTATTGATTTTTGCAAGGCTTCTTATATGTTGCAAAATATAAGATCTCTTTCCATTTCTTTGTGTCCTCTTCAATTTCTTTCATAAATGTTTTATCATTTTCATTGTAGAGGTCTTTCACCTCTTTGGCTAAATTTATTACTAGGTTTTTAAAAATATCTACTGGAAATGGGATTGCTTTCCTCACTTTTTCAGACAATTTGCTATTGGCATATAGCAATGCTGTTTTGTATATTAATTTTGTATCCTTCAACTTTGATGAATTAATTTCTTAGTTCTAGTAGTATTTCGGCAGAATCTGAAGTTTTCTAAATATAAGATTATGTCATCTGCAAACAGTGACAATTTGACTAAAGTATCCAAAAATTAAAATGAACATTTGTAAAGATACAAATGTTATATATCAGTATTAAACTTCAGAAGTTGCAAAGATACCTTTGAAGTACAAAAGAGGCTACTGTACCTCTGTCCACACATCTTGTGCAATATTCAATATGCATTCAGTAAATACTTATCAGGACTTACGATGTGCTTTGTAAATAGAGAAACTCATAAGGCAAAATCCCTGCCCCATGGACCTTCTATTGTGCATTTCCTTCTTGACAGATGCAGTCTTCATCAAATTGTCGTGGACATGGTGTCTCAGGGACAGTTAGGTGTACATGTTCCTCCTCATTGCAACCGTCATCGCTCTTTTTCAAACTCCTCTTGCTATTTAGCATGAACTTTGTTTTATTTTGTGTAAACAAGAAGTTAGGTTGCACTGATCAACTTCTCTGTCCTTCCAGCTGCAACAGTTTTTCAATAACATGTTGGAGGAGCAACAGAGGATCACAGTTCATGCCAAACTGCAGACAATAAAGAATGAAAATCTGAAAAACAAAAAGAAAAGTGCTAGAATAGCTGAGTGGCTCCAGAAAAACACATAGTGCATAGCTCCTTCCAGCAGGCCTCCTGTACATTATAATCTTGATTGCTAACAGTTTTGACTTCCAAAACTCTGCAAAAACCACATGTTTTGTTTGTACTTCAGTCCTGTTCTTCCTATACTGTCACATTTGGCCCCGAAGATCAGTGATTGCTGAGGATTTTGTCAACACTGCTGTATTTCTGAGGAACATTTTACTTCATGGTGGGTAATAAACCCACAGGATTTTCTTTAAATGCCTTACAAAAACAAATTTATCCAAGAAAGTCTTGCTTCTTCTGTTATGAAGGCCAATGGAATACTCAGTCATTGGCATGAATGAGGGAACACATTCTTTTCTGATGGAAATAAGGATTTGGCAATACTCTAGGGTTTATTTAGTTCAAAACTGAAAGAATAATGAGACCATAACATGACAGTGTAAAGAAACAGATACCAGAAAAGTAATATTCACTAGAAGACAAAGGAGTCAAAGAAAAACAAGTTTGAAAGAGGAATAGCAATTTTATGAGCCAAACGAAGTGCCTTAATGGTAAGAAATGTGCCTTCTCCCACCCACTGCTTTCACTCCCACCTCCCACATCCCACCTCCCACAGCACTGACTGCATCAAAGCCAACTTTGCTGTTATTCTACTTCGTGGAGTCATAAAAAGACAAATGATTATAGGATCTGCACAGTGCCCTCAGGATCGCTGCCCTAATGGCCACCATGGAGATGAAGGGTCTGCCCTGAAGCTCTTGTCTGTTCACCTATGGGATGACACTTTCAGCCTGCACTTTTGAGTGAAAAAAATGGTGTCAAAAGACAGTAGCAATTGTGTTGTAATCTGCAGGGCAAAGGAAAAAATCTTCAAATGAAGGCTGACCCGAGCATAATCCTTATAGTTATGCACTCAGGAGATTAAGTTTGAAATGTGGTTTCATTTGGCCAAATTGAACCTGTTTATGATGTGGACCAATTTTACTTTACTATTTCTATCAATGTCAATGTATGCAATTAGCTTAGTTTTGTCACACCTGATTAAAAACAGGAAAAGAAAGGTAAATTATTTTTACACTAAACTTTCTATATATATAATTTAACCCCTTTTTTCTTTACACTTGTTTCTGTAGAATAGGGGGATTTGAGAGGGGGGTAGAAGCTACATGTCTCCAAACTATCTCAGAGTGGTATTGTAAACATTAATGAATATGCTGTCAATTAAAACTCCTTAAAGTTCTGAGGGAAGATGGCAGATTAGAAGTTTCCTTTGTGCGCTCCCTGAATGAGAAGAGGCAGGGTAACAAAGCACAGACTGTATTCCAAGGTGAGAAAGAGAAAGAGCATCAGGAATCAAGAAAGAGGTGATTGGACAGCTAAAAAAGTGTGGAGACACCGAAAGGTGATGCAGAGAACAGTAAGAAAAACAGTTTGCAAGTCCAAACTTGGCGCCCAGGGAGGAGGGGCAGCCAAGAAAAATCTTCAACCAGAAGATAAGTCAGGCAGCCCTGGTGACAGCAGACTGGCGGTCCTAGCCTCTGGAGAAAACCACAGTTCTCCCAAGCCTTCAATCCTGAAGGAGAAGCTCATTGCATTGCTCACATAGCTTAGAGTGCTACAGGTGTCTTCTTGAGAAAGTGTCTACCATTTGAGCCTGAGCTACTCTGGGGACTAGAAAACAACAAACACAAATCAGGGAGCCTTGGGATACTCTGCCACAATGCCTCACATTTCATGGAAGACGGTACATAAGAGGCAGTTGTGAAGATGGAGAAGGTCAGATGCAGACCTACTAAGATGTCTAAGCAACAGGAAGCTTGTACTATGAAGGGCCTGACTGTTGGTGGTTGTACCCTCTGTGGTAAGAGACTAACTCCTTCACCTGCAGATTACAGCAGAGGCTGAGAACTCTGAGCATGTGGCCGGCAGATTGCTTAGTCTCTGGAACTTCCTTCCTGTGGCTCACTCATGAGTGACAGAGCTATAGACTAGGTCTAGTGAATTACTGTATTTCCACAGTTTTCTCCCTCTCACAGAGTGGTTTCTGCTGGATGGGATCTGAACATGTTGAGACAGCACACAAACTGCCTGGCTCCCTGGGGTCTCCCCCTGCGGTGCAGAATTCAGTGCTACCTCCTTCCCTTAAGCTATGGCACGTTAAGGGGACACCCATCAGCTTGAATGTTTGTCACCACTGGATGCACAGACTGGGGGAAGGGGGATTTCTGGAGGGAGTGGGAGCTCCCAACCCACAGACTACAAAGGTTCTTGAGGCCAGAAGTGGCTCCCGGTAAACAAATGAGTGAACCTTCTAAAGCTTATATGCTGACAACATATGTTTGAGTGATCCAGGCCTAGGTCTGAATACAGTACCAACCACCTTAGGGCAGTTGCTTTTCTCCTCTTTGAAGTAGTACTGAGGATTGAGCCTTTAAGAGAAGTCTGGTTACTAAGAAGCTCTGAATCTGTGGTCAGCATGTTGATCACTTTCTGGAGCTGATTCCATGTTGTATGTGCTTGACTGACAGGTGGAATTGAGGGCTCTGAGCTCAAGGCATAGAGATAGAGAATGGAAAGTCACCAGTAGACTAGATGAGGTGGAAAAATATCAGCAATCAAAGATAAGGTTGAGGAATTATTACGCTCAGATGGTGGTAAAGGAAAAAAAAAACAGTCATGTCAACAACTTTCAAGACTTCTGGAACATGACTAAGATCAAACCTACAAAATCTTGCTGAAGACGAGGAGCCAACATACAGACTAACTGCATAGAGAACCTGTTCACTGAAATTATACCAGAAAATTTCCCGAATCTAGGCAAAGACTTGGACATCCAAGTACAGGAAGCATTTAGAACCCCAAATAGACAAGACCAAAAAAGAACAATACACTCTTGAGCAGTCAGTGGGCCATCGAAGAAATGGGGGAGGGGGGATGATTTAAAAAATTCTTAATGAATTTTTAATTAAACTAAAATACAACTTACTAGAACATTTGGAATATGGGAAAGATGCAAATTTTCCTAAGAGGGAAGTGTATAGCTGAGTGTCAACTTTTAAAAAATCAGAGAAATCTCAAGAAAATCACCTAATTATGCACCTAAAACTCAGAAAAAGAATAACAAGTCAAACCCAAAATTAGTAGGAGGAAATAAATAATAAAGATCAGGGTGTAAATTAATGAAATAGGGACAAAAATTTTAAAGAATCAATGAAAAAAGTTGGTCACTTAAAAAGATAAAGAGGATTGACAAACCAAATTCTTCTCTAGACACATATGCCCTGCCAAAATAGAACCAAGAGGATATAAAAAACATAAACAGATCAATAACAAGAAATCTAATTGAAGTAATAAGACTCCCAATGTTGAAAAGCTAAGGGCCAGATTCACTGCTGAATTGTACCAGACCTTTAAAGAACTAATGCCAATGCCCTGAAAATTATTCCATAAAATAGAAAGGGAAGGAAAGATTCTGAACTACTTTTATAAAGCCCATATCACTCTGATGCAAAAACTGTACACACACATGAAAGAAAACTATAAACAAATTTACTTAATAAACAAGGATGCAAAAAATCTTAGTAAGTTACTTATAAACCAAATTCAACAACATATTCAAAAGACCATTCCAGGGATGCAATAATGCTTTAACATGTGAAAAGCAGTAATGTAACACAGCACACAAATTTAATTGAGGACAGTAATAACATGATCATTTCAACAGATGCAGAAAACGCCTTTGATAAGTTCAACATCCCTTCATGATGAAAACTCTTCAGAAGGATGGTCATACCTTAACATAAAGGTATATATGACGAACCCAAAGCCAATATCATACTGAATGGGGAAAAACTGAAACCATTTCCTCTAAAATGAGGAGTGAGACAAGGGTGTCCACTCTCCCCACCCTTATTCAGTATAGTGCTTGAATTCTTAGAGCATTAAGGCAAGAGAAAGAAATAAAAGGGATACAAATAAGAAAGGAAGAAGTCAAATTGCCCCTGTTTGTAGATATGATCTTATACAAGACCTTACCGTCTCAACTAGATAACTGTTAAACCTGATAAATACTTTGAGCAAACTATCAGGGTAAAAAATCAATATACAAAAATAAATACATTTTCTATACATCAATAATAAACTTGCTGAGGAAGAAATCAAGAAAAAACTCCCATTCATAATAGTCTAAAATATTTAGGAATAAAACTAGCTAAAGAGGTAAAAGAGCACTATAATGAAAATTGTAACACACTGAAAAGAGTTATTGAAGAAGACTCTAGAATATGGAAAGATATCTCATGCTCAAAGATACACAAAATTATCATTGTTAAAATGCCTATATAACCAAAAGTGAGCTACAGATTGAATGCACTCCCTATCAAAATTCTAATGATATTCTTCACAGAACTATAAAAAAAATCCTAATATTCATATGGGAGCAGATAGTCAAAGCAATATTAAGGGGAAAAAAAGAACAACACTGGAGGTATCACAACAACCAACCTCAAACTATACTACAGAACCACAGAAACAATAGCAGCATGGACTGGCAGAAAAACTGATTTGTTGACCAATGGAATAGAATGGAGGACCCATAAATAAGACTACAGCCAGCTGATTCTTGAAAAAGGTGCCAAAAACATATGGTAAATAAAAGACAACTTCTTTTATGAATGGTGCTAAGTTCTAATCAGTTTAGATTCCAGAGCCAGTAAATGTATTTTTAGTCTTCATTGTTGTGTTTCTGTTGATCTTCTGGCCTACACAAAAGCTAATTTTGTTTTCTTTTATTATGGTTATAATTATGTAAAAAACCTTTGATAAGTCAGAGTTGAGAAAGTTGAAGTATAAATTAAAAAATAAACTAAATGGAAAAAAACCTACAAATGGTGCCAAGAAAATCAGATATTCACATGTAGGAAACTGAAACTAGATCCCTACCTCTTACTCTGTATAAAAATTGACTCAAAATGGATCAAAAGACCTTAATGTAAAACCTGAAATGTTGAAAACATGGGGGAGACACTTCAAGATACAGACTTTCTAAACAAGATTCTAATAACTCAGAAAACAATAGTAAGAAGTGACAGGGGGAAGTCATCAAATTAAAAAGCTTTTGTATAGCCAAAGAAGCAACTACCAGAAGGAAGAGACAACCTAGTGAATAGTTTTTAAAAAACCTGTGTCAGCTATTTATCTTTCAGGGGATTAATGCCTAGAATATATGAAGAACTCAAAAACTAAACACAAAAAGAACAAATAATCCAAGCAATAAATGGGCAAATGAACACATAGTTTTCAAAAGAGATGTACAAATGACCAATTAATAAATGGAAAAATGTTTATTTTTAGCTATCAGGAAAATGCAAATCAAAATTACATTGAGATTCTATCTCACTACAGTCAATATGGCTATCCTCAAGGGGAAAAAAATACTGTCAAGGGTGTCAAAATAGGAATCCTTATGCACTGCTGGCAGGAATGTAAATTAGTCCAGCCACTATAGTAATCACTATGGAGTTCCCTCAAAAAACCCATAAATGTGAACTATCATATGATCCAGCTGTACCACGCCTGGCTATTCACCTGAGGGAGTTGAAGCCAGTATACAATAGAGATACCTGCACACCCATGTTTATGGTGGTGCTGTTCAGAATAGTCAAGTTATGGAATCACTCTAGGTGTCTATAAATGGATGAATGGGTTTATATATATATATGATATACATATATTATATATACATATATATCGGCCAATAAAGAACATGAAATTGTTTACAGTAAAATGGATGGAACTAAGATAGTCATATTAAGTAATCATACTGAAATTCTCATACTGAAATAAGCCAGACTCAAAAAGGCAAATATTGTATGTTTTCTCTCATATGTGGAATCTAGATTTTAAGAAAGGACATAAAAGTAAAGGGGGATTATTTGGAAGAGGAAAGGGCCAGGGAAAGTAGAGAGGGCAGTAGGGAGATGCATATGATCAAATGTGTTATATGCGTATATGAAAAGGTCACAATGAAACATACTATTTTGTGCAAAATCCATAAATTCAACAAAGTCTTTAATGGTGTTATATAAAGTCAAGGCAATATGATCAAAGGCTTTTCTTCCTTATTGCTTGTATAAGTTAAGGTAACAACCAATTAAACCACAATACAAACGTTCACTCTGCATTCTCTTCATGTCATAAGAGGATGCTCCCTGAGCATCAGTGGGAAGCCATGGACTTTACCATGTGGACAAACCAAAGCACAGTCTACATACTTGACCATGGGTGATGGGTCAGGAGACTTTTTCTTTAAATTTAGAAATGTAAATTTTTAAATAAAATTTTTACTAGGATATGTTCATTATACAGGGGGGATTCAAAGTGACAATTCCAATCAGATTTATATTGTACATTGTTTACATTTCCCCCTAGAAATGTAAATTTTGAGCAATAAAATATCTCCATGCCTTCAAATAATTATGTGTAAGGTATTACTCTGTTTTTTTTAAACATGCATTCTGTATTTCCATGTTTCCTATGATAAGCAATGTCATCTTTCAGTTACCTTGTCTTCAAAGTTTCCTGTTGATTGCTTTTCTCTTCCTCCTCTTCTCCATTTCTCCTTCCCTTTCCTTCTCTCCGAGGATCTCCTGTCTTCCCTTCTGCCTTTTCTAGGACCTGTGCCTTCCCTCTGCATGGTTATCCTGCCTCTGTCCTTTACTTTCTATCCTACCTCCTCCAGGTCCATTGAGTGCACTTCAAGGCTGACATTCAGGGCCACAGGGGCTACCAACCTGGACAAATGGGCATGTAGGCAGGTCTGTCCAGCCTGTTTGATTAAAATTAAAGTCTCATTATATCTTGGCTTCTGTAGTAATTATCAGTGATGAAGCTGTTTCTCTAATCAAATACCCAAATATTTAGTGATATTTTCTCTAAATATGAAAGAGAATTTTAAGTAATGTACATTTTTCTTATTTGGATGAAGGCAGTTATTCTAGATGAGCACCAAATTCTATTATACTTTACATTAGGCTTATTATAAATACAAGTAATTGTTGATTGATTGTTTTAATAGCAATAAGGCAGTAACAAGGCAGGGAGCAATACCAAGGCGGATTTTTCCAAATGGCATAAAGTCTTCATTAACCAATAAAACTACTGTATGTATTAGCCCAGTTTCTCTGAGCTAATCTGTTTACTTTGAACTGTTCATTCTAAAAACAGTTAAAATGTGATGTAATGTATTCATGGTTGTTCTCAATTTGGTCATTAGAAATTAAGATTGTCCTCATAATTCTATGCTTTCCTGCTCAAATCTGTTCAGAGACCTTCCATTATTGACTTCAAACAAAAGAACAAATTCCTTGGTGTGCTGTGCAAGGTCATCTGTAATTTAGCTCTGAGACCAAACTGTGTGGCAATTTATCTTGTGAAATGAACTGAGAAGCAAAATGAGATGAGATGTGAAAGGGAGTTGCTCTTGGCTACTCTTCCTGTTGAATTCCTCTTTGCACCATAAATGCTAGCTTTTCCCACCCAAACTCTAGCAGAGCTAACATGTTCAAAGCAAGGTTTTAAAGGACTTTGATCACATGATAAAGCGAGAGCACACAAGGAAGGTATGAGGATAGGTAAGACACCCAAAAAACTAGATAGCATTTGTTGCCCTCAACGCAGAGAAACTAAAGAGGATACTTTAAAGCGACAGAGGCCAATAGGAGAACGGGACCAGGAACTAGACAAAAGGTTAGTTCGAGAAGAATTAACTTAGAAGGTAACACACATGCACAGGAAATCAATGCATGTCAACTCCCTGTATAGCTATCCTTATCTCAACTAGCAAAAACCCTTGGTCCTTCCTATTATTCCTTACACTCTCTCTTCAACAAAATTAGAGATAAGGACAGAATCGTTTCTGCCGGGTATCGAGGGGTTGGAGGGGTAAGGGGGGGTTGGGGGGATAAGGGAGGGAGGGGACGGGGGAAGGGGGGAGAAATGACCCAAACATTGTATGCACATATGAATAAAAAAAAGAAAACACAAGCGCCTCCCCTGCACAAAGAATTGTGTAGCATAGCCAGCAGTGTTTGAAACCATACATGTGTTGTCTCTAGCTCGCTTGTCTAATTCGGTGAGATTCAGCAAAGACAGTCTTTGCAACACATGTTTGGGAGTAGTTGGATTCTTTTTCCTACACATGTCAACCCTAAAGCTGAGACAGAACAAAGTAATCATCCGCATGAGTGGGGGCCAAGGAGGAGACGTGCAGGCTTGTGACCTGAAGTGGGGTGTAAGAGTCTGAATAGGTGAGGTCCACACAGAGGGAAGGAGTTCATGCAGGATGCCAGAGCCTGAGGAGGGTGAATATGTGGTGAGGTGAAGGAGTTCTGACACAGTGAGTCAGATCCAAGCAAGTCAAGGAGGACTTCTATGCAGGGGGCTGTCTGGCATGTGCAGTCAGGGCCCAGACAATGAGAAGGGCTTCAAATTTTGGGGGGGGGGTACCCAGAATGAGAGGAGTTCAGGTTCAATAAGAATGAGGAGGATGTGAGGGGTTGAGAGTAGGGATGCAGTATCAGAGCCTGAAGGTGGTGAGGGCATCCACCTGGGACCAAACAAATAGATAGTAAGATCAAGGTTTCTCACTGCTAGAGAAGGGAGTTGCAGACATTCAAAAAGAATGAAAGTAGAATGAACCGTTTTTTTACTGGAATTGGAGGTATTGATGTGGACACATGGTTTTTAATATATAGATTTAAAAATAACAAATGTGTAATAACTATATAAATGCATGTAGACATATTTTGATCTTTATCTCTCTGCATATAGATAGAGATAGACCCTAACTTCCACTGAGACGGCCTGGGAGCATCGATGCCTTTGTTATGGACTGAACATGCCATCACATTTATTTGTTGAAGCTCCAACCCCCAAGGTGATAGTATTTGGAGTGAGGCCTTTGGAAGGTGATTTAGTACAGGTGAGGTTGTGAGGTGGAGCCCCATGATGTGAAGGGCACCAGTGTACACAGACACACACACCTGTGTGCTCACATCAAGGAAAGCCCATGTGAGTACACAGTGGGAAGGCAGCTGTCTGTAAGCCAGGAAGAGAGCTCTCACTCTGAGCAGAATCTTCCAGCTAATTTGATATTGGACTTCTAAGCCTCCAGAGCTGAAAAATGCTTACCTGTTGTTTAAGCAACTCAGCCTATGGTATTTTATTACAACACCCTAAGCCAGGACAACCCTAATAACCAATGGACACAGCTGATGCTCTGACCTTGGATCAAATGCCATTCTCCAGTAAGAGAACCAGGGTTCCTTGGTGAAATGCTGATTTCGGGACTAAGAAAAGAAAGGGATGATTAGAAGTGGGACATCTTTTTGTACTGAAAAAAAAAAAGCAAGGAAGTGCTAAAGAATAATGGGGACATATCAAAGGGATACAAACACCAGCTTGAAAGGAACCCCTTCTGGCTAAAGTCTAGGAAAATTCAATTATCATAATCCAGTAAGGATATACAATAGGAAATCATGAACCTATACTTCTATATCTAAATAATGAGTAAATCAAAATTTTCTTGAGGAAAAGGATATTTACATATTTCAAAATACTTTCCCACAAAAATACTGATTAGTATGAAGGGAAAGTGAGTAATTTACAATGAAAAGCCTTCCAGATATCACCTTAATCAACTGATTAATTTGAGCATTCTTGCAGTGGGATAAATAAAAATCTTATTCCATTAACAAGATGAAATGACAAAAATATAGCATCCCTTTTGTTATATTCTTGATGAAGATATATAATGTGAGTATAGTAGTGAGGAAACATCAGATTGAGGGATATGCCACAAAATAATCTTCAAAGCGTCAAGGTCATGAAAATCAAGGGAAGATGGAGGACTGCTCTGGACTGAATGAGATCAAAGATACATGAAAACAAATGAAACATGAGTTGGAATGAGATCCTTTGAAGGTCATTATGGGGACATTTGGAAAACCTCGAGTGGTGCCTGAGTTTGGATATGGAATGTCCCCCTAAAGGTTAAAGGCTTGGTCATCAGCTGAGCACTATTGGAAGATGGTTGGAACCTTTAAGAGGTGGGGTTTAGTGAGTGGCCTCAGGTCACTGGGGACAGGATGGGTTGCCCTGGTAGGGAGTTGTGGGATGCTGGTGTCTGGTTGCTTATTCTCTCTTGGTGCTTCCAGGCTGTCCTGAGGTGAGCAGCTTCCTCCACCATGCACTCCTCACATGATGGGCTGAGTCATCACTGACCCTAAAGCAACAGGGTGATCCAGCTACACAATGAAATCTCTAGAATTGCAAAACTGTGAGACAAACCTTTCCCCTTGTTAAATTGATTTTCTCAGGGATTTGTTACAGTAACAGAAAGCTACTAATTGCACTGGGGATTAGATATTAGAATGTGACAGTGGTTCTGGGAAAAAAACACAATATATCTAACTGCTCTTTATGCTTGTCATTAAATAAACTTAAAAACAAAAGAGTTATTTGTTGTTAGACCTTCAATTTCAATCACTTTTTTCAACTTGGTAATGGTCACAACCACAGTCCTGAAATTACCTGTTAAACATTTCAATAAAACCAGATTGGAAATATAAGTTGTCCTAAAATTTAATGTCTTGTTTC